GAAGAAGCATTTTTAGCTGATGACATCTACGCTGAGGTGGAGCAGGGTAAATGGATGGTGGTAGAGCCAGACCCATCCCTCACAGCACTTCCTGCCACTGCAGCAGAGCACTCTGCCCCTGAGCCAGGGAAAGAGAAGAAACAGAAGGTGGGTACAGCTGAAGCTACCTGCTAACTTCCTCTGAGTCTTGCAGACTTCAGCCCTTCCTTATAAAGTGGTAACCTGCTCACCCCAGGTTTAGAGATTTTGGGTATTGACGTTGACACCCACACTATCTTGCTGACCCTTAAAAGAAGTAATTAACAACGCAGCTTTGCCCCACAGAATTTCATTACTTCCACTAATATAGTTTTAAAATACTTGCAGATTCAAGTGGGAGAAGCTAATTTGTATCTGGATGTTTGCATCCCTTGAAACATCATTATTTATTATCTGTGTAGATTTGCCTATTGTATGGGCTGCTCTGTGGCAATGTCTCCAATGTTTAAAGTCATGACATAGTCAGTAGAAAATACAGAGATAGCTTTAATAATATGATGATCACAATGAAGTGTCTTGGAATAAAAGACAGACAGGAATTCATATTGCATTTTATTTTACTCTTGGAGGGTGAAATTTTCTGTGTATACAGCTGTTCATGCTTAATGTCATGAGTCAGGTGATTAGTTTTAATCAGTTCTAGTGCTTTCACCATCATTTGGTAGGAGATGAAAAAATCCATCAGACGGTCAACAAAGAGGAGGAAAAGAACCATTGCAGATGAATCAGCTGAAAATGTTATTGACTGGTGGTCAAAATACTATGCTTCTGTGCTCAAAATGCAAAAGGTGAGTCATGCCCAAAACTCTCACAGATGAGCAATGTTGTAAAAGTAGATTTACTGCTGAATTATTCCTTTTTGATATTACACTCATAATGAGGAGTTTGTCCATTGTGTTTTCTTTTGAAAGGCAAAAGGAATTTTTTTCAGTGAAGGAAAACCTGATGATAGTAAGTAAATTATTTGCATTTTTCTGTTGCTTTGCACCATAAGTGTCTCTAGTATCACTTCTCTACTATTTTGCTGTCAACAATATCTGGTAAAAGTACTGTTGGTGTACTGGGATCTTTCCTCTACAGAGGATCAGATGTTGGGTAGGTTAAAACTTCACAGCCAGTGTTTGGTTAACATGATTTTTCTGTCATCCAAGTATCATGCACAAAGATTAGCAAAGTCAAAGTCCTAAAGAATACAAGATAGAGATTATCCTGATCTTAGGCTGCACTTATAACAGGTTCCAGAAAAGAAACTCCTCTCAATTTTGAATCCAGTTCAGGATCAGTGATGCAGGAACAGCTTCTGCTAGGAAGCATACAAGTTATTTCCGTAGCTGGAAAGCTTTATCTAGCTTAGGTTCTAGGAATTTTCTTTTTCACAGGAACCTAAAAGAATTGGCCAGAAACAGGTTCTGTATGTATGTCTCCATACATATGTGTTCCATGGTTCAACAGGTCCTGCCATAATCAAACTAAACTCTGGAAAAAATTATTTTTGGGCAAATATGACTGCTTGATAGGCTGGGAAAATAAAGAAATATTTACTGTTTACACAGAGCTGCTATTCAGAATGAAATTAATCACCTTTTCGTGCCAGAGCTGACCACTCCCCAGTGACTGAGGTGATTTAAAGGTTTAAAGGGGGTGTTGAGGTTGTTCTGAATGGAAGACATGACCTAAATACATCACATGACATCTTGGGAAGAGCAGATAATGGTGATTCAGTGATCATCAGGGCTGCTGAGAGATGAGATCAGTTTCTGAGTGAAGCTCACTTGTGCAAATGGAGGAAATATTTACATAGAAAATGTTCTACAAAAATGTGATGTTCATTTACTTTTGTGACATCCATTCATAGGCTATTCAGGTGGTTGTGGCTTATTGGTGCTGACTGCTGATTTCAGACCTTGCAAATTCTCTTCTGATCATTTTTGTTACAAATTTTCACCTGTGATTATAAGCATTGTACATGCAAGACGTCTCTGGCATGAAATATATATCTCTAAATATTTAGTGCTGCTAAACACACAGGAACTACTCAAAAAATGAAAGTAAAGTGAACTCAAAATCCAGATTTCAGCCAAAGAGCTGAACCATCTCACTGTAACTTTTAAGGGCTCACCCTCTTTTTGTTGGGAAATCCCCTCTCAGTGTCTGGAATCTGACTTTAGTCTGGTGTACCTTCTTCTATTTCTTACACTTCCAGGCTTTCACCAGGTGAGACACACCCTATTTTGTGATATGTTTAAGCAGAGAAGGACTTGGATCCTGATATCTGAAGTAGCTGTCAGCTTAAACAACAGCTTTCCATTTTAAATAAACCTTAAATTTTATGTGAAAGCTGATAAAATCTGTTTATTTGCATTGGGTAGGAGTCAGAGAGGGAGGAAAAGGGTGGTCTGGGAGGTGGCCATCAGGGAGGGGTCATACAGGACACCATCACACTTGGTCCAGCAAGCTCTTTGTGAAGACTGGCAGCCACAGAGAGCATAAATTGTCACCTCTCTGCCTGGGAGCACCAGTGGTAAAAGAGAAGATCCCTATGTTTGGCACTAGAGAAATAAATAGAAAAAGAGCAAGGGGGACTCTTTAAAAATATATTTTGCATCCTTCTCTGAAGTGTTTTATATGCTTTCCTTACTAAAACACACATGATATCATTAAATTTCTGCAGATAAGCAGACTTCTGACCACATAGCATTGATCATAGAGGATGACTCAGACAAAAAGAAGAAGGATAAGACATTGAAAAGGATACAAAAGAAAACTCCAAACTTAGCCACACTGCAGGTAAGAGAAAAGTAAGGCTGAGGTAAGGCTGTTGTTACTTACTGTCTCTCCAAAGCTTGGCATCAGCAGCTGAGTTGGGCAAACCCTCCCTAGATATATTTGAGACACTTTAAATGAATAAAACACACTAAATTATAGTGATAATGCCTTTCAGCACAAGGGACACAAAGGAGACCATGGTCTCATCCAAGTGGATGTGGCCCACTTGGTCCTAGACTTAATTTATTGGTGTAGACAAACCCAGAGAAACTTCAGTGAAATTCAGTTTTGTTGTTTGCATGTAAAATACTGCAGCTGGAAATCCCAAAATATTGCAGCCTATTAAGAATGTCTTAAAAATAGAGGTGGAGAGCATTGCTGTGATGGCTGGTGCATTCTCCTTTATGGGAAATAATATTCAGCTCAAATTTTATTTGATTGGGTAATGACAGAAGGAATTCTAAGAAAACTATATGGGCTGTGCAAAATGTCTGAAGAGATGAGAGGTTTGAAAAGATTAGGACAGTTTGGATTAGATTGTGGCTGAATAAATGGGAATTTAAAAGTGCTGTTTCCATTTTTTAAGATATAGCAGTAGCATAGGCCCTTCTATTTCACGCTTGATAAATTACTGGAGGAGAGTATTGAAAAAACATGTTCTTTGAAAAATTATTTGGTCTTTTGAGCTATCCTAAAGCTCTGTCCCCCCAGCAAAGGCAAAATGCAGCAAGGAAACAGAAACAAAGAGCAGCACATTCACAATTTTTCACTTACACCAGTGGCTACAAATGTTCATTTTGGCCCCTCCAGATTCACTTCCACCTGCTACATTAATGTGTTATTTCAATAGTTGGGAAAATACTTTGGTTGAGGACAAAACTGGTCCTGTTTTAAATGGGGAATTAACTTTTTTCCTCAAGGACTTTTGCAAAACCTTGGTTTTTATTAAAGTCTTCATTTTGGGTGAAAATGAATTTCTATTCATTCTCTAATAAAAAGGTTGCTATAAATATATTCACTGCACCACGAAATATTAGTGTGCTTCTATTTTCAAAGATTTATGAAGGAGACTTGGAGAGTGAATTCAGTAACTTTGAGGACTGGGTGAAAACTTTCCAGCTCTTCAGAGGAAAATCTAATGATGAAGTTCATGCTGATGCTGAAGACAGAATAATAGGAAAATTTAAGGTAATCTTTAATGTTGATTAAATGGGTAATCATTTAGAGACTTTAGGCTTTAATACATATTTCAGGTATGCCAGGGATGAACAAAATAAATAGTCTGTTGTAAATAGAATTAGCTTTATTATATCAAGAGTCAAGTTTTTCCTTTCCCATTATCTGATAGAAAAAAGCATCATCCAGTATCAGGTGTTCACTTCTGTTTGAAATAAGGAATCACAAGGAGTTAGAAATTACAGAAGGGGAAGAAGAGATATTACATAGTCCAGATTTCACAAAAGTATCTTGGTTTCTACACTATTAGTTTCAGAACCTTACATGTAATTTTGTGTAATTTAAGTGTAGGCCCTCACAGCTACAGCCTCATCTAGGGCTCCATGAGGCAATCTGAAAAGTTCAAAGCCTGAGCAATGTTATTAGGATTTGTTTGTAGTTTAGAGGAACTGATTAAAGTAATTGATATCTCAATTAGCTTGCAATGCAGATTTCTGTCCAAATGACTTGTTAGTTGGTTTCAGGCAGTATGAGCTACTCAATAACATGAGTCTATATTCATTTATATGAGCTGCAAAAATACAGTTAGATTCCTGTCACACTGTTATGAAACTTCCTCAATGGAATTATTAATATACAGTTAAGGTCAAACTATTAGTTTTAAAATATTAATGATAAGAAAACTAGGTTTAGAACACCTACAGGTATTAGTTTAAAACAGTCAATAGGCACAGAGGTACTCCTTGTAAATATCTAGATATGATTGTACTATATTGTATAGAAAAGACATTTTAAAAGGTGATGTTTAGTGCAATGCAGTTTGGGTTCCCTGTGAAGGCTACCACAAAATAAGTTGCATGAGTGATGTTTTTTTCATTCAAAGGGTTGTTTTTTTATTGCACTTGATCTGTTTTCACAGGAGATAAAAGTCAATGTATTTCCAGGGCTCCTTCTGCATATACCCAAGTCCTGAGGATGGCAGCTTTCTGGATGGAGGGCAGCCCCGCATCCTGCAAGGGATACCCCCAAACCACTCTGTCAAAGTGCTTATCAGGGTTTATATTGTGGCAGTAAGTAGACAGATGCTCTTTTAACCTTGAACTAACTTGGATTTTTATTTTCAACTCAGTTTACTTTAAGTGTCTTTGCAGTGTAGATTCTGAAAATCTTCATCCATGGGGTTTGGGCTTTTTTCTGGTCATATTTCAGGCAACATTTCATACTGTAGAAATGTTTGTTCAGAGTAGAAAATATTATGTATATTCCTGACAATAAATCTGGAGATTTCTACAAGATTGGAGAATCACTTTACTTGTTCAAACTAAAAGCTCTGTATATATAACTAACTTACAGATACTATAGATCTATAGTATCTAACTTGTAGATAACCTGCTCCAGCCACAATATCCAAATGCAGCCAGTTTTAATGAGTAGGGTTGTTAAAAATGACACACATTTAAACAAAACCTCAGTAAGGGGGAAATGGTAGTGTATTTTGGGGGGCTGTGAATAGCATGCTGTAGAAGTTCTACATGTAAATAAATTTGGGGTTGATTACAGTAGAAATACAGAGCATGAGATGAGAGAATGATGTGAGAGGTAAAATTGGTAGAAGAACCTGTTATTTCAGAGAAACAAGAGAGTTTTAGGTATCTGAGACAGAAAGATGGCATGCAGAGAGACTGTGGCAACAAAATACAAAGAGATAGTTTTACTTCCTGAATGCATGAGGACCTTGAGGTCTTTTCCAACCTTAAGAATTCTGTGATTCTATAAAGAATTGGTTTGCACCGTTCAAGGATCTGGAACAATATTTGTGGGTAAATCTTTCCTGAATCCTTGTGCACCCAGCTTCTTCTAGCACTTGTGCACCCAGCTTCTTCTAGCATTGCCTCTCCTGCTCAGCTTTTTCTGTATTAATGATGAGACATTTCCAGCTTTGCAAACTCTCCAGATCATCTTTTCATAGTAGTCTACAAAGCCACAGCCAAATTTTACATGACATGAGGCAGGCAAAGTCCCTGAACTTCCAGAATCCCCAGGACTGGGCAGGAAATCCATAGTTCTGTGTAGGGACCCTGATGTATTTAAGCAAACTTCTTGAGGACACAGTTTTTCTTCTTAACAGGCATTTAACCTCAGCCCAGCTGATCCAGATGGGAAGTCAGATCCCTACATTGTGCTGAGGCTGGGCAACACAGAAATTAAAGACAGGGAAAACTACATCCCCAAGCAACTAAACCCTATATTTGGAAGGTCAGTTATGACTTATTTTTGTATTCAGTTTAATTTCTGCTTTATCTCTTCCTACCACTGTTGCCATTACTAATTGTTTGCTATGTGCTGATTTCTGCTTGTTTGGATGTTTTGTAATTCTGATGGTTAAAATGTTGGGAATTGGTGTAACACTGTATGATAATAAAATATTTCATTTTCTTACCCATCAAAACATACCAAGTAATGCAATCCATGAGAGGTTTTGCAAAATGATGTGTCAGAAGAAGTGAGACAACAAATGATAATTTTCTGTGCAAATTAATACAATCGTTGAGTTTAAAGCAAAATAAGTATCAGAACAATAAAGTGTGATTTCACAATCTTTGTTGCTGTTTCAGATTGAATAGAGTGCTAAATAAATCTCATAATTCTAGGACATATGAGTTTTTTGAACTCAGACAGCCTTCCAAATAGGGGACCCAGGGGCAAACTGTCAGTAAATATCCAGTTTCTTATTATCAAAGCTTTATAGTTATTTGTATTTTTATGCTAATAGCTGTGATTTTTTTTTGTGTCCAGTAAATTTCTCTATTTTAAGAAAGTTGAAAATATTTTCAATTGGGGTGGAAGAACATTAAGACAGAAAAACAATACTATTTTGGACTGAAATACCCCTAGAATGTGAGGAAAGGCAGAAAACTATTCCTTAGGAGACAAAGCTCAGTTTTTTCTGTGCTTTGGAGAAATCTGTGTTATAATCAGGATGACCTGTCTTTCACTAATTTGTCAAATCCCTTTTACAATCACATTTATATTTTCAACTTCTCATCACATCTCAAAAATATTGATTCCTGAAAAATGCACCAAGTGAAAAGGGAGTTCTTATCTTTGGTTTTTTGGTTTTTTTTTTTGAGATTTATTTAAAACTTTTGCCTGATCATTTTGTTGGGTGACCCCAAATTCCTATATTCTATATTTAACCTGCAGTTTTTGCCAGAAGACAGAAAATACTTAGATGTCCCTTTTGGGGATTCTGAAAAATGTGTGAGAACCATTACCTACACCTATGCTGCAATAATGCTAATGTATGCGCATTACTGGAGTCAGAATTGTAGGTACAATCTTAGGACTGTACACAGGGTGGTAGGGAAGCTGGAGAAAGATATGGTTTTGCACTGTGTGTTTTCAGCATGTTCATGTATTTAATTGAAGCAAAAAGCACTACCAAAAAAGCCCACTACATTTTAGAAGAGACTGTTTGTTTAGAAGAGACTGCATGGCATTAATCAGCCTAGACTTTGAGACTCCAAAATTGATTTGACTTCATGTAGGTCTCAATTTTTTCTGTAGATCATTTGAAATCCAAGCTACATTCCCCAAGGATTCGTTGCTCACAGTCTTGATCTATGACCACGACTTCATTGGAACAGATGATCTTATTGGAGAGACTAAAATTGATTTGGAAAATCGTTTCTACAGCAGACATCGAGCTACCTGTGGGTTACAGAGTCAATATGAAATGTAAGTACTTCTTCAGGCAGCACAGAACTCACAGTGAGTGACTTGACGTAGAAATTACAGATGTGTTCTGGTTGTGCTCCAGGTGTTTGTGCTTTCTCCAGCACGAAAGTTTCACAGAGGGTATTTTAATTAAAATTTACCAAAGAGCTTAGTGGTGGCTTTGGGTAGCTGCCAGCCTCAGTGGGAAATGGATATTTTTAAATTAACAGCACTGTTGGTTCAATAAGTATTTTAGATAGTAAACAGCTGATGTTTACAACATACCTGCTTGAGTAACTGCCTTGGACAGGCATAAAGGGCAAATGGGAAAAATATCTCAGAGAAATTATGCCAGGGCTCTACTTTGCTCTCTGTTATTCAGCTGCAGCTGGAGTGATAGCAGCAAGGGGCTGGGGTGGCACTGGTGGGAGCAGGAACAGAAACTGCTGACATGACCTCTGTGACAGGGTGAGCTGTGGGGCAGTGAGGCTGAGCTCCTGGTCCCTGCCAGAAAGCTGCACGCTCAAGGACCTTGTGTATACAAATTAATTCATGCAGAGAAAGTCAACCTAAAATAACTCAGCTGCCCTGGGGTGGGGCACTAACCTGGGAGATATGTGTTTGGGGTTCTTCTATGATTGTTTCTCATTTTTTTTCTAAAAAGCAAGGATGGACAATGTCAAAAAGCAATCCAGGAACACAGACCAAACCCCAAAGCTTCCCTTGCCAGCTCAATCTCCAGTGTGATATTTTTCTTCATGTGCTAATTATGTGTCCCAAATAACCTGAGCTCGTCCTTTGCATCTGGGAGCTGCAGAATAATTCTCCTTAAATGGAGGCAGCACATGTAATCTCAAATCTTTCAGGTACAACAGGGAACAAGGCCTGTTCCTTTTCCCCATGGGAAGTATGCCATGCTATTACTTTATTTAAACTGTAGGCAAGGCTGCCTCAGCTTCTCCTGTGTTTTAAGAGAAAGGAGTGGTTGATCTCCAAGATCCTGAGCAGAAAGAGGCAGTGTTTCAAATAAGAAGCAGTGCTGGAGAAAGGAAAAGTTTGACCAAGCTGGTATCAGGCCACTGACCACAAAGCAAATTTCTGCATTGAAATTCCTGATCTGTCAGTGCACTATTCTGGAGGAAAACCTCACCCATTTGCTTCACTCTGTCCCCTCCTTGCAGAGAAGGGTACAATGCATGGCGAGATGCAACCAAGCCAAGCGAGATCCTCACTAAGCTGTGCAAGGACTACAGAATAAGTGGACCCTTCATGAGGCCAGGAGAGATACAAGTAGGAACAAAAATCTTCAAGGGACAGACAGTCTTCACAGAAGATGAGAACGGTAACAAAGGAGTAGTTCAGCATCCTCCTTTTGCATTGTAGCAGTACCAGGAGCCTGCCAAGATGTGGCTGGAGCTCTGTTGGGCTGTGAGCTCTCAAGCTGGATTACTCTTAAACACTCATGTAACTCTGGCAATGAAGGCTGTGTCTGTATTAGCTTTTGCTGTAGCTCAATTGCAAAGAATCTGTAGAGTGAAACAGTTGCTGCTGATGATTTGACATCCTCATGGTGGCTATTGGGGAGTACCTTGGACTAGCTTCTACCTGATCCGAAGGATGTGATGTCCAAGATTGGTTGGAGTGTGGGGGACCCTCTTGGAACATGTCTTCTGGCTTAGTGTTGGTCTGTGCATGCTCTGAAATCCTTCCCCACAGAATATCAAAGCATGGGAAGCCAGGAAGAGTCTTTCAAAGAATGTATTCTCTGTCTAAATTAAAACACTGGAACAGACAGACCCAGGAAGTGAGAAATAGAGGGAAGGGAAATACTGTTTTGGAGGGAATTACTCAAGGTCAGACAAATTTCTGATCATAGTTACATTCCAGGCCACTTACCAGCCAGTCCTACCTTACCTTACCTACTTGTCTTTCCTCTCTGTTTTTTTTTCCTGATTCCCCTTCTGACATAGCACTCTATAAATCTGACACAGCACTCTATAAATCCAGATATCTGTGGGGTCCATGAATCCAGGTGACAGGATGTAACTTATTGTCAGAGCTCCCAGGTTAAAAAGAGGTCAAAGCAATTGGGACCTCCAGTGTCCATAGCACACTGGGGTGGAGTGGGACAGAGTCATCAGTGAAAGGTGCCCCTGCCCGTGGCAGGGGAGATGAGCAAGATTGTCTTTGAGCATCCTTCGAACTCAAACCATTCTATGATTCAATTTTGTACTTAGAATAAGGAAAACAGATGTGAAGATGGAGCCTTTCAAGAGGGTGAAAGAAGCTGGTCTAGGAGACAGTAGTGGACACTGTGGCAGTGTAAGAAAAGCTCCAGTTCCTTATCAGTGTTGGTTTGTCTTTGACACAATTCTTCATAGCAACTGCAAAATACAGCTCACACTTTGAGTAGAAGGCTGCCAAGGAAGTACTGTTGAAGGGAGAAGAGTTGATCCATTTTTGGTTTCTTGGCCAAAAAGAGATTTTTTACTCCAGTATTGCTGTTTGTTTTCCTCACTAGCAGATGACTGAGTGTGACTACCAGCAACAGGATGTCTCAATCAAAATTCTGGTTCACTAAAAATAAGATTCAGACAAACCAATGTCAGATAGATGATGGAAATTAGAAGCAAGGAAATACAGAACCAGATGGCAAAGACCAAAAGACTTATGTACACAAGTTTTTCAATATTGTACAGAAATAGTTTCTCTCATGCAGTCTTTACATAATTTCTATTCAGATTGCTGTTCTGACAAGTACATCTGGGTCCTTATTTCCTGATGGATTTCTGTGGTGGCCATCATTTGGTCTGTAAACTAACAAAGACCATAGATTTGAGCTCTAGAGACATACTGAAAAGGGAAAGCAATCCTATTTCCACTGTAGAGATGGAGAAAATTATAATTATCCATCCAGCTTTAATTTGCAAGGGAAGGAAAAGTTTAACTTTGCTGTAGGAAGAAAGAAGTTGACTAGGATAGGATAGGATAGGATAGGATAGGATAGGATAGGAATAGTCTGTTTGGAACAGACCTACAACAATCATCTAGTCCAACTGCCTGTCCATTACTCCCAGATAGTCTAGAATTGCCTGTAGCCAATGGGAAGAAATATGCATCCCCAGAGGTTAAAAAAATATATATTTAGAAAGGTTTCTTTGAGAGGATACAGGATATTGTAGGATAATCTGTGTCATTGTTACGGAAGCTGCCTGACTGAATAGCAGCTAGACTCCTTGTTTTTAGCTGGCTAAAATTAGATGTTGGTGTACAAGAGGGAACCAAGATTCCTAACCACAAGATCATCCTTCCTCACTCTCTGAGCCATTAGGAAGGGTTTAATATCTACTGTTTAAATTCCAAAAGAGTCTTTTGCCAACGATCAGTAATTCAGACACAGCAACATGCGTAGGAAGAGTGATAGCAATTTGTTGACACAAATAAATCTTAACCTTCTTCTCACTTAGAGACTTCTAATCTAGAAGATATCACTTGTCAAAATTCTGGGCTCCTTTTGTGTGGAGCCCACACAAAAAGGGAGGAAAGAGAAGCTCAAGAGCTCAAAGGGCTTTCTCTGCTTTCTAGCACCCACACTACGTTCAATATTAGCACTGGTCCCTCCTTGAGGTGCCATTCTCTGGAATTCTCTGGGTATCCCTTCCAGTGACCAAGGTGAGAGGGTCAGGAGGTGAAATGT